ATCTATCTCTAATCTATCTATCTATCATCTATCTATCTATCTATCTATATCTATCTCTAATTATCTATATCTATCTCTAATCTATCTATCTCTTATCTATCTATCTATCTATCTATCTATCTATATCTATCTCTAATTATCTATATCTATCTCTAATCTATCTATCTCTAATCTATCTATCTATCTATCTATCTATATCTATCTCTAATTATCTATATCTATCTCTAATCTATCTATCTCTAATCTATCTATCTATCTATCTATCTATTTATCTACCTATACATATCTCTAATCTATCTATATCTATCTCTAATCTATCTATATCTATCTATCTATCTATCTATCTATCTATCTATATCTATCTCTAATTATCTATATCTATCTCTAATCTATCTATCTCTAATCTATCTATCTATCTATCTATCTATTTATCTACCTATACATATCTCTAATCTATCTATATCTATCTCTAATCTATCTATATCTATCTATCTATCTATCTATCTATCTATCTATCTATCTATCTATCTATCTGTTGTACTTTAACATTTATCACAATCCATTTAAAAATTTAGAAATATAATCGGGGTCGCTCTCCTGCGGGTCACTCTGCATATCCATCATTATTTTACAACAACCCTATTCGCTATCTCATCCTCCCAACCTCTCTTCTCCACCTTCTTCTTTCCTCCTCTTCTTTCTTTTTTCTTCTTCCCCTCCCTCTCCCCACTCTTCTTCCTCTTCTCCTTCCTGCCCTCTCCCACTCTTACTACCTTCCCTTACTTCCTCTCCTTTTCCCTTTCTTTTCCCTCCTCTCTTCTTCTCCTTCCTGCCCTCTCTCCTACTCTTACTACCCCTCCCTTATTTCCTCTACTTTTCCCTTTCTTCTTTTCCCTCCTCTTTCTCCCTCCTTCCGTTGTTGCGTTTACTTATTTTCTTCTTCATTCTGGTGGATTTTCCGGGTGGGATTCAATCAAACCCGATTTCATCTTTACATAAAAATCAATTTCTTCTTCCATATTTTATTTTCATTAGAATAATTCCACATATGTGATCTTTTAACTGTATATTTGTACATTGATATACAATTTTTCCTTCCTCTCCCCTTAATTTAATAGTGTGTCATCTGGTTTACTTAATCTGTAGTCTTTTATTCATATTCCTTTTCTAACCAATCATAAAATCGCCTCCATGTCCTGAAGTACACCAATTCCTCTTGGTCCTTTATTCTCAAAGGTCTTTACTGTCATTGTAAAAAATAAAGACAACGTAATTGGTTTTAGCCTCACTGGTGCAAAATTATAGCGGAAAAGAAAAAGAAAAAAGTAAGCATACATATCTGCGTGTGCATGGAGTGATTGTGGTTGTGTTTAAAGAGTCTGGCAACCAAGGATAGAAACTATTTTTAAACTTATTTGTTTGGCTGGCTATGTTTTGATGTCTTCCGCCCGATGGTAGAAGTGTGAAGAGACACTGACCAGGCTGTGAATCGGGGCCAAATTCAGCAGGTTCTGACAGGTTCCGGAGAACCGGTAGCAAAAATTTTGAGTAGTTCGGAGAACCGGTAGCGGAAATTTTCAGTAGTTCAGAGAACCGGTAGCGGAAATTTTGAGTAGTTTGGAGAACCGGTAGCAGAATTTTTGAGTAGTTTGGAGAACCGGTAGCAGAAATTTTGAGTAGTTTGGAGAACTGGGCTGGCCCCAGAGTGGGTGGGAATGGAGATTTTGCAGTACCCTTCCCCTGCCATGCCCACCAAGCCATGCCACCTCCACCAAGCCACACCCACAGAACCGGTAGTAAAAAAATTGAATTTCACTACTGCTGTGAATCATCCCTGAATGCATGGAAACATAGAAGAGCAGAGTTTGTTTTATTTATTTATTTTATTGTATTTGGTTTGTCAAGCATGTATGAGAAAACAAGTATAAATATGAATATGTCACATAAACATATAAGTATAAGCAGGTATAAGTATATACATAAGAAATGAGTACAAATACACGGGGACAGTAGGACAGGGATGGTAGGCATGCTGATACACTTATGCAACCCCCCTTTTACGGACCTCTTAGGAATGGGGTGAGGAGGTCCATAGTAGACAGTTTTAAGGTTGATGTTTTGGGGATTTGAGGATGTAACAACAGAGTCAGGTAGTTCATTCCAGGCATTGACCACTCTGTTGGAAGGGAACTTCTAGGTTATAGATTGACAGAGTTGGAAGGGACCTTGCAGGTCATCTAGTCCAACCCCCCAGCCCAAGCAGGAGACCCTACACCATTTTTGACAGATGGCAGTCTGGTCTCTTCTTGAAAGCTTGAAAGTCATCTAGTCCAACATGCCAGGAGGGGAAAGCAGTGAATTTTTCATGTGGAGCCGGGAGGAAAGAGGCAGCGATATCTCCCTCCCACACCATCCCAAACCTTCTCAATACAGCTACTTTCAGATTAACAGAGTTGGAAGGGACCTTGTAGGTCATTTAGTCTAACCCCCAGCTCAGGCAGGAGACCCTACACCAGGGGTGTCAAACTAAAGGCCCACAGGTCGGATCCAGCCCAAGGGGATAGAGGTAGAGATAGCTAGGTCTATTCATAAGCAAATGCCCTCACCCAAGATCCAAGAAAGGTAGGATTAGCCCTCTACCCATCTAGCAACAGAATTCATGACACCTGGGGAGATTATATCATCCAGCAAGATTCAACCAAGCTTGGAACTCAAAACACTACAAAGCTACACTACATGGCCCCATGGGAGTTTGACAACCAATCAGAATACATTTCTTTCACAGGAACAGGAAGCAAGTTCAAAGCTCAAGAGAAGGTATAAATCTCAATCTCTCTCTCTCACCCATGTGCTTGATTGCCCAGGAGCTCAAACCATGTGGTCCTGTCCACCATTTAGCCATCTTTCCAGATAGTTTCCAGTGTCCTTCTCCCCACTTGGAATTGAACCCAGATGGACATTTCTCCCAACACCAGTTTCTTTAATTTGGGCTCGGATACATCAACTCCTGCCTCCTCGCCATCTTAAAGTCCCAGATTCTCAGAAATGATGATAATTCTACAAAAAGAGAAAAACAGGCAGCAGCCAAAGGAAGCCTTGTTTAAGAAAGAAAGGTAAGTATGCAAAAACTAGTGTCTAAGAAGTAGTGACAGACTTTATTGTTCATTTAAAACAGCTGGTTCCTCCACAGTGAACTTGTTTCTTGGTTACCCCCGTGTGGATTCTTTCATGGGAAGCAACGTAATTCCTTGTCTTGAAGCTTTTACTTCGTATTTATACGACTTCTCCTTTTTGTGAACTATTTCGTGCTTATTAAGAACACTGGAATAAACAAAGGTCTTTCCACACTCCATGCATTGGTACGGTTTTTCCCGTGTGGATTTTTTTCATGGGAAGTAACTCCTCATCTTGAAGCTCTTACCACACTCTCTGCATTTATATGGCTTCTCGTTTTTGTGAATTATTTCATGCTTAGTAAGATCACTGGGATAAGCAAACATCTTTCCACACTCCATGCATTTGTGTGGCTTCTTCCCCACATGGATGTTTTTATGAGAAGTAAGAGTACTGCATCTTCTGAAGCACTTGCCACACTCTTTGCATTTATATGATTTTCCCCCTGTATGAATCCACTTATGGCAAATAAGTTGTCACAACTTCAAATTCTTTCCACACCCTGCATTTATATGGCCTCTCCTTTTTGTGAACTAATTCATGTGTACTAATGTTGAAAGAAATGTCCTTCTGGGTTCAGCTCCAAGTGGGGAAGAAGACACTGGAGACATGGAGGCTGCTT